TACCAATGATTATATGATGCCGCAGGTTTATGTAGACTACTGGTTCAGGATTTATAAGAGAACCTTGGATACTGTTCTGGAGCAGCATCAGCCTCCACCCACAACAATCTGTGGTTGGAGAAGCCAGAAAAGCTATATAATGGCCTAGCAGAAGAATGGTGGTGAACCTGCTCCTGCTATCTATTGTGAGCCAACAGTGTGATACTTTCCTTTTACCTTTCTTTTTTAAACTTTTTTTCTTCTATCCCCACATCATTAGGGATTTACATTTTGTGAGGTCTGCATATGTATAGCTTTAGAAACAACATGTACAATACAATCTTTTATTATTAACAAGTCAGTGATTTTGTCTTTGACATTTTGAACCATATTACTGCAAAAGCTTCGTGGAACTGATTTTGTTTGCATGATGTAAGATCATGATCCGACGAGATTAGACCAGTCGATGAAAAAGCCGTGTGCTCATCCATAATATTAACAAACACATGTTGAGATTTGAGATAACTTGGTCAAATTGTTACCACTGAAATTTATGCCTCAAACTCTTCCCTACATGACTTGTTCAAAGATGGTGACTGATACCATAAGAACAAGAACACCTGAGAAGCAACTGCTACTCTATAAAATGCCCATCTCATTCCCACAATAACACAGGCAAATCTCAATAAGAAGATAACAGACAGTATGAAAGAAAGAAGAAGAAGATGGCGTAAGAGCGTCAGGGAGAGGATGCAGAACCTCCCGTTGAAAGGGAAATCCTTAAAGTTGATGCTGTGCTTTTGCTGGTAGCTATGATTGTGAGATGCAGGAGTTCTCGTGTGCTGGGTTTGTGTTTGGATTAATACTGATGACATTGTTACCACCAGGGTCTCTCTCATTGGTTAAGCATCTGCAAATTTCATAAAAGTCTTTTCTTGCTAAAGATGATCAGATATGAATAAGGAGAGATTTCTCTTCATGATTGTGATATTTCAGTGTCTGTGCAATTGTTTATCTGCTGTTGACTTATGTACATTGTTCTTAAAAATAAGGTAATCTATGTTCTTTTCCCTCAGTTGAAACAAAGTCTTCACTTTCCCCTTTAATAATCTAAATACCAAACAAAAGAGAAAGTAAATTGAAATTCTCCTACTCTCAAGAAAGTTCCACTTCCATCTCCAAAGGCAATATTCTTTATTTGACTTTAAAGGTTGAAGTAGTTGTTTAGAATATGACAATCCCATTCAAGAAATTAGTAAGGGGTACGTAATTCACTCTTTTTATATAAAGGAACAAGAAGAGTCCCTTAACTTTCATCTAAAATGCAATATCACCTTTGAAGTTTGAACTCTGACTCCCTGTTGCGGCAGCCAAGGTGGCGCGGTGGAGAGGGCGGCAGCCGCCTCTCATTCTTTCTATATATAGAAAGTAAGAAATAACATTAAAAAAATATTATACCGTCTAAAATTTAAATTATACAATTAAAATTATTAAATAAAGATGAATTTTTGCTATTAAACTTATCTTTTAATACAATTATTTATAAGAAAAAGAAAAATTATTACGTTCAAAACGTAAACCACAATTATCTATTGTGTGGGTTTATATTTTTTATTATTTATATTTTTCAAGACAACTATTTATATTTTATAATATCTCTCTCTACCCTTCCTCATCCCAAACACAGGGTTACAGTGTAAGTCAAAATGTTAACCCACTAATTTGGGAAAATTAATTAGGAACAGTTCTCCATTGTCCCCCGTTACAACAAGCAGCAAGCAACCCCGCCTATATAAAGTCCGCTCGCCGGTCCCTGTTTCGCACCCAAAACCCTCTAGAACCTCCTCCATTTTGGCATTTTAACAAACACTTCCTCTCCAACAGGAGCAATGGCTGCCGCTGCCCCGCCACCGCCTCCAGCTCCCGCCCCGGAACCTGCCATGGGTCCTCCCGAGTCTGCACCAATAGGCCATCCTCTCTTCACCCGCATCCGCCTCGCCACCCCCGCGGACGTCCCCTTCATCCAGAAGCTCATCCACCAGTTGGCAGTCTTCGAGCGCCTCGCCCACCAGTGCGAGGCCACCGAGGCAGCCCTCTCCCGCACTCTCTTCAACTCGCCTCCGTTCCAGTCCTTCACCGTCTTCCTCCTGGAGCTCTCTCACAGCCCCCTTCCTCCAATTTCTTCTCCATCTTTCACACCTCACGACCGGGTTGTCAATTCCGACCTCCCCATCACCGATCCCGAGAAGGATCCTTTCATTTCCGATCCTATAAACGAAATCATTGTTGCTGGGTTCGTGCTGTTTTTCCCAAATTACTCGACATTTCTGGCGAAGCCTGGGTTTTATGTGGAGGACTTGTACGTAAGAGAATGCTATAGAAAAAAGGGGTTCGGAAGGATGCTGCTTTCGGCTGTGGCAAAGCAAGCAGTGAAGATGGGGTACGGAAGGGTAGAGTGGGTGGTGCTTGATTGGAACGTCAGTGCCATCAAGTTTTATGAGCAGATGGGAGCTCAGGTTTTGCACGACTGGAGGATCTGCAGGTTAACTGGTGAAGCTCTGCAGGCTTATGATCATGTCAATATTTAGACTTCGTGGCTTTTTGACATCCACACCTGCAGAAGCTCTGCAGGCTTATGATCATGTCAATATTTAGACTTTGTGGCTTTTTGACATCCACAGCTGGGAAATGAACAGAAATGTGGGTTAGGGTTTCCCTGTATTTCCTGCTATTTTCCCTGTAGATCTATCTATGGAAATTTCAGTTGATGAAGTTCTGTTCTTGTTTAATGTTTACTGCATTCTCTTTTTATTTTCTTTTTACTTGCCTTTTTTTTCCTTCTCAGAATAATAATAGGTGTTTTTTGCTTAAAATTTATTCTAAAATAATTTTTTCTAATTTAATCTTATTATTATAAATCTTTAATTAAAAAAAAAAAGGGAACATTTGGGGGGGAGGACGTAAAATGAAACAATCCAGATTTCAGACAAGTTTCCACGTATGAAACAAGAAATGACTTTGATAACTAAAAACATGATTTTGGAGATTTCATAGAGAAAATAATGGTCCTGTCCGGAAGACATTGACATGTAATAATTGAGAGAAACTCAGAACAGGGTGTTCATGTTCAATGTTCAACTATAACTAACTGCATTCGTAAGATTGGAGAATGCTGCACCTACAAAAGGATTAGTCTAACCCTAAAACCTGTACCTAAGATGAAAAACTCAACATTGTACATGATTCTGGGGTCTGTCAAAGGTCCCAATCTTTTGCCCACCATATATAGCACAGAACCACTCTAGTTACAAAGATAAGCTTTCAGGATGATGAGTCCACATAATGCCCCGTTTTTCGTCTATGTCGGCTAAAATCTGATACAAACCTGAAAGAGAGGCCGCAGCCTTCAACTTTGCAGTGGTATGGCTTCTCTCCAGTGTGCACTCTTATATGCTCAGTCCTTGCCCATGCCCATTTGAATGACATTGAACAACCCTCCCACGGGCACTTGAGAGGCCTATCATCCTCGTGAACACGTTGATGAAGGACTGCATATTTGTGGGACCGGAACTTCTTTCCACAGCCTTCATGTGGGCACCGGTTGCGTTTGTGTAACCGCAGCTCTTCCTTTGTCTCAAAACTCAAGCGGCAGTTTTCTATGTCACACTTATGAGACTCTTTCCGAACTGCTTTTGCATTTTTTTGCTTTTTCTGGATGGAAATTGAAGGCTCCCTCACCTCCTGTTTATTGAGCTTCATTTGCATTGTACTGCTAATATCAACCACAGCAGCTGCATCTTTCGTAGCCCTTGACCTCAATCCTTCACATGGACTCCTAATAAAGCCATTGTTGCTGAACTTCTTTTCTGCCTTGTGCTCCACTTCTCTCTTCCTTTTTCTTTCATTTGAAGCACTTGATATGCCATCTTCCACGGCAGGCTCAATGTTCACATTTTCTCTACTGTCTGGTGATGATGAAGCTTCACTGCCATGATGCATGTTCTCGGTAGCACATTTCTCTTTCTGAATTCTCGAATACTTTTGAATTGAATTAGGAGTAGGCTCATTTATTGGTGTAACACAGCAAGAAACAGATTCTTCTTCATCAATTTCTTTTGCGGTCAAGTCCTTTTCAGATCTGTCATCATCATTGATTGGATTAGCACACAACATTTCTCTAGCACAGGGCTCCATTGGAACTTCAGAGCATGCTTCTGCTAATGTGGGAGAGAGTTGCTTTTGTTTAAGTTGCATATTGGAACTAGAAATAACATTGGCTCCTTTTGCATCCTGAATTTCTTGCTGAACTTCAATGTCCAAAGTCACATCGGTATGAAGGTCTTCCTCAGCACTGATTCTCTCTTTCAATGACAAAATAAATGGCTTATCAACTGCCATTTTTGCAACAGAATTTGAGTGTGTTTCAGGCTTGCTCGCATCTTCCATCTGGATTTCATGTGGTGTTACTTTGTTCTCTACAGAAAGACCACTGGATGAATCAGCCATAGCATGGGGCTGTTTTGGAACATTGAGAATTTTCTCCATCAAAACAGAATCAGCACATTTTGTGGGTGTGACAGAACTCAGAACTGGTTCCACCTTGCTTTCATTTGTAGTCTTGCTTGCTTCCCATGCTTTATCTTCCAAGGACAAACCAATGGAGAAATCAGCAGCAGCAGAGACATTCATCAAATGTTCACTACTCTCACATATGGAAGAAGAGCTAGGCTTATCCATTATCAGCTTATTGTCACATGAAACGTTCTCCCCATTGTGACCTTGGAGAGTAGCTTGTATTTCTTGCTGCAGTTTAGTATCAGAAGTGATAATATCATGAACCCCACTATTCACATAAGCCTCCTCACCCTCCAATTTTGCATTAGCTCTTGCTGCAGAAGAGTCAGAAACAAGTAAACCTGCTGAGTTAACAGTATAATGATCCTTGTGTATCAACACACTCCTGCTGGGCAGTCCTTCACGCAGTTCTTCAGAAACTCCATCACCAGCTTCCCTAGAAATTCTAACATTCTCCCCAAGTCTTTCCTCAGTTATACTGGCATATGAAGTAGAAAATTTATCAGAGAAAGAATGTTCATTATTCTCACTGATTCTGTCAGTGACCTTGATTTTGACTTGCATCTCAGAATTATTGCAGGCTGCCAAATTACAAGCATTTCCCCTTATGTTCAAGGCCTCTGATATTTGATTTCCAACTATCTCTAAACTTCCTGCAACTAAGTTGGCAATAGCAGGTGAATCAGCAAGGTGTGAAGCAGAAGTCATGCTCATTTGGTTGGTGACTTCAACTATTCTACCAGGCATGTCAGAAAACCCACATTTAGCAGCTGACTGTTCCATTGCAAGGTCCTTATTAGGGCACTCAAGGCCCCTACTCACTCCAGTAAAACAATTAAGTTTTGACTTCTTCCGCCTTGAATATTGGATAATTTTTTGTTCTTTTTTAATGATATTGCCATCCACCTTTTCTGCCAATACTACATCCTTTTTCAATTCAACACTACTGCATTGTTTAGGGCGGAATGGATGATCTAATTTAGCTTTTGAACGAGATCTTCTGGACGTCCATTTGATGTTTGACAAATCTGAACTGCAACTTTTCTCAGAGAACAGTCCACCCAATGGCAGTGCATGTTGAATTTGCTTGGATGGGGAGTTCTTTATGACCTTGACACAGTGTTGCAAGTTAACACCAAGTTTTGATGTCCAGTCTTCACCACATTCAGCATGTTCATCATCGATTGCAATATTGATCAAGTTTAAATCTTCCTCAGAAGCAGTATCTAATGGAACATCATTGTAATTGAAAGTGCTACCAATTTCCTCTGCAATGACGGCAGCATGAGCCTTGATTTTTTGGTAATCTACAGAAATAAAGTTCAAAATCATAAGGGAATCAACAACCAACTATAAGAATACATGCAAATTAAGAAAGGTGTGCCATATCGCTAGAATGAAGCAGTGTATGGCTGTATGCCAGCACAAGCATATTCTCAATTATTCAATCATTGGTTAAAAAACAGAATGCTTCAAATACCACAGATGATATATAATGAATATGGATTAACTGCCAACTTTCTTGTACATAGATCTTTGATCAATATCAAGAGTCTTTCAAATAATTAATACTTGTCTATTTCTGTTTTAGAATTAGCCACTGATCTACTAATTGATCAGGGAATGATAATACAGATGGATCTAAAGCCTATCTCACCTGAGTGGCATATTACCATCATATTTGCTCCACCTTTAGACTGCATTAGCTCTCCAATTTGAACAGTGTGCTCCAGGCAGAAAATTCGAGGTCTAAGGTATTTATTGGAAGTATTCCATCCCTTACACATGTTTATTGATGGTAAAGGAACATCCTCTGGAGGTAGAGAACCTGCAGAACAAAGCACAACTCTTATTCTACTCAGAACTTGAAAGCCACAAAAAGTGGTGAAGCACATTTCCATTTCTTCCAGAAAAGAATTAACTAGCACAAACTGTAACTACCCCATTCTCACTTGTAAACTCAAACTCTCTCATGCAGCCGAGAAAATATGGAACTTACTTCCACAAATATTCCCCATTTGGAATATCAATCAATATAATAATGAGAATGGTTATTTGCATTTACATAAATGCAGCTGCATGCATGTTTAACAGATTCAGGGTTCTGAATTAAATAAAGAATGGCAAAACAAAAGGCTGCAAGAACATTGGTCAAAAGAAAAAAATACAAGAACAAAAAAATCACCAAAGTTATGCCATGCCAGTGGCAACATTATTTGAAGTCATGCAAATGCAATCCTAACTACCTATATATGACAATAAAAATGTGAATGAGCATGAAATATTAGAGGAACCGATTCGAATATCTGACAAAAGAATCCATGGGTCCAATACCTGAAACAGAGCCCTCAACGGTGCAAGCCATATCTTGATGGGAAAGAGAAGTCTTAACTTCTGATACTGTTGGACTTTGACAAGAAATATGATCTCCAGATAGAAGTTCCATTGATGCTCTCTCAGATGGCTGTACCACAGACATAAATGGATAACCCAGAATTCCACAAGCCACACATGCCAGCGTCCCCGAATCAAGTTGGAAGTCACACGATAAATCATCATCATTTAAATATAAATCATTCAGCCTTTCCATGTAGAGGCTCATCTCATCTAAAAGGTTACACTGATTTTTATTTTCAGAATGGATATCAGTAACAGTTTCTTGCTTTACTGTAGAAACAGCAGTGTTTCCACTGGGATATTCAGAGTCTTTACTGGGATAAGAGAGTAACTCAGGTTCCCAAATTACTGCTCGGCAGGTTGATCCTCTTCCAAGAAGAATAGATAACAAGTTGTTTTCATGTAGCATATCTTCTATAAAAGCCTTCTTCACTAACAACTCTCTATCTTCCTTGAGGCGATCTCTTAGACGAGAACTTCGAGCACCTGGTAGCAAAGATCTTGGCACTCTGGCATCACAACAAATCAAAAACTCAAACATGAGAAACAATTACACCTAAAAAAAAGAAACATGATGAAAGAGACTTATGCAGAGAGATATTACGCTGAATTAAACTAGCAGAATAATTCAATCAACTTAATCCTTAAGTGTTTCTGACCAGAAAGTCATGAGCGATATAACTAGTGACATAGAAAAAGAAAAATATGCCAAAAATCACAGGCTTCGAATTTAATTCCAACAGCTGACAATGCTCCAGTCTATTGACATGACAAAAGTAAGGTATCAAAATAACCATAGTTTAGACAGTATTATAGTCAAAGGAGTGAGAGGACATGGTCTAACCTTGAAATAAAAGACATGGTCAACACATATAGCAACTGCTGATGAGAAAGCATTGGCAGATAGTTCATAGCAGCTCTCCGCACTGCAGCTTCTTTAGCTACTTGAAGCCACTGTGGAGTTCCAAAGTTTGCAGCTTCCCCACAATTAAAACCTAGTTTGGAACAACATAAGATTCTTAATGGACAATTAAGGACAATAGGAATAGGGGAACAAAAGTGACTTATTTTAATGGAAAAAGAAAAGAGACATTCCCCCAAACTTTTGTGCAATTTCCATGGTTTGATTTTTTTCATTGATAAATGAAATGATTGAACATGGCAATTAACTGCTAGAAGCTATAACAACCACATTATCATAAATTTTCCAGCAAAGGTAAAATGTAAATGAGAACTGTAAGCAATTACCATGGCTGAATCCTACATGGTAAGCCCTCGGGAAAGTCACAACAAATTCACCAGGATTCTGTACTAACCTAAAGGAAAAACCAAAATAGGCATGAGTATAACCTCAACATAGAAAATTAGAAAAAGAAGCAAATGCCACACTTTATTCTGTATGGGGCAATAACTTTTGGCACCTCACCTACAACAAGGAATGCCAGATGCAACAACTAGCTCAGGTGATACAAGAGTTGTCTTCTCCCCCAGTAATGATAAAGCAGCTGGCAGTAAAGCAAACTAGAACTGTGTTACAAAACCAATATGAGAATTGCAACAAGTAAATATTTTGATAATCAACTATTCTCCTCAAAAGAAGGCAATACCTAAGCGGTCCATATTACCACCATAAGCCTTCATGTGGATAGCTTCCTCAAAAGCTAATGCATCATCTCCTGGAACAGCATACCAAGTCTTTGAAGAACCGGTGTGAAGAAAATTCATGCTGTGAAGCTCATGGTCTTCAACATGCCAGGCAAACCAGCTAAATAACATCCCAATATAAACCATTGGAGAAGTAACACCAGGAATGTCATCTGGCATAAAACACGTCAGCGAACCTGGTGAACGTGCAATTACTTGAAGATTCCAGGGACTGTTTGAAAGCTTCCAACCAGCAGTTCCCTCTACATCATTTGTAGCATGTACATGTCTTCGTCTAGAATGAGAATTTTCATCTGATGCAGTAGTTGATGTAGACATGGATGACCCAGGTACTTTTAAACATGTTTTTGCATCACTTTTAATTGAAGCATCTTTGATATCATCATTGTGAGAATTGCTTGGATTAGCCACTTCATTTTTCTCACAGTCAAAACTTTCTCTCCTCCTGTAAGACATCCTCTTCCTCCTCCTCCTTCTCTTATGAAAATAACGAAATTGACCTTCTGGTTCTCCAAAACCTGACCCAGGCACATCATTTGCATATTCAACATATATAGGCTTCTCTGAAGCCACCTTCCAAAACAAAGCCTCTATAACCAATGGGGTAACATCTTTTATTGTACTCAGCAGACTTTTTGCAAAAGCCTTGGACTTGACCTCAAACTGTTCCAATGTATAAATCTCTCCACTTTGCCACACTTTCCTATGTACACCAAGCAGTGGAATATCAGCTACCCCTTTCACTCTCTTCCCACTCTGTCCCAATTCTTGTTGCCTAGTGGTAAATACCGCCCTAACCTCCCCCTCAGTACCACTGTCTGCAGAACCTATTTTTGATGGAGAACAGGCAGTTGGCATATCCACATCACTACCCAAATCCGGGCACTTTGTAAGTGACTTGTTCAAATTGCCAAAAACATACTTCTTGGATGGTTTTGGCAATGGTGGGATAATCTTACAAATACCAAAAGCACTAGCTTCCTTCTCAATTTTTGAAATATAAGCAATTGGGTCTGCAAATTCTGTATCAGTTGGACGAAATTCAGGCGCCAATGGCAACCCTTTAAGCCATTTGGGTATCTCAACATTACCCATCACAACAACATAACCAATCAATACATAACCTATGTAACTCAATCACCTAACATTGCCTGTTGAACTCAAAAAATAGCATAAATTAACAGCACTTCCTTTTCAAACCCTAGAATTAAGATTCTTGTTGAAATCTGTATATGGGTTTTTTAGCTTCTTGTGATTGACCCAACATAAAGTTACAAACTTTGAGCAAGTAAATCAAATGTAAGGGCATTTCGAACATAGAAATGAAATAATACAACCTGGTAACTGCAGCCTTCGCGTGGCAGGTTCTCAGAAGGCCCAGGGTTCAGAGGGGAGAGGAAAAGGAGAGAGAGAGAGGGGTTTGCACAGGTTTTGTGTAAAATCCTTAGCCAGCGCAACTTAGCATTCCATACGATAATCAGATAACGTGCACGGATAAGACAAGGCGCACGGTTTGATGTAACTATTAGTGAAACCGTACGATTTTCCTTTCAATGAGGCAAGGTTGTTTTTCTATAATATTTCCACTTGCATTTTAGGTAAACAGAAAGTATAAGGTGCAAATGCAATAAATGGTACGAGAATCTGCCCACCGTTTATTAGTTTGTGATGATCTAAAATGTAATTGAGTGAGACCCACTAGAGAACACCTGGCAAATTTCTAATCCTTGATCAGCAATTTCACCATGTGATACAGGAATGCAGGATTTTACTACCCAACATCGCTGTTTTCCGCTTTCATTTTGCGTAGCAAGAAATATATTTTTTATATAGAAAAGATATATTATTATAAATAAATAAATAAAAGTACATCAAGTGGGTCGCAAGGAAAAGTCTACTTTTTCTTAAATAAAATTCTTAGCATAGGTTTTGTGGGATTATATTGAGTTGTAAAAATTTATACCATAAATAAATTGTAAGTAATATTTTAAATTTTGATTCAATTTTTATCATAAATTTTGTTAGATTATATTAAATTACAAAAATTAAAACAACGAATGAATTGTAAAACATTATTCTAAATTCACATTCAATGATTAATATTTTTCAGGTGTGGTCAAATTTTACATTCTACTTGAGAACAATAAACATTGCAATGATGCAAGATGGTGAAAAGAAAAAGAAAATTCAAAATCTGGGTTTTGCTTGGATTTGAACCAAAATTTGGCAATGGGCCCATAGCTAGTGTCTGCGTGAGTTTGTCCAATCCCACACATCTTTTCTTTTTTCCTCTCTGTATTCTGCTACATGTTTGCAGTAGCTTGTGCAGGCTAACACACAAGCATCTATGTTGGCACCCTCCTCTTTCAGGCACACAAGCATACATTTTCTGGAACACCAGGACAGCGACTCGCATGAGTTGGTACAAGTCATCACAAGCAATGCAAAGATTGCCAACAGGATGAATCCTTCCTTGGCGGCCATTATCTCTTCTTTTCTAGTTAACTTGATGATGAGTATACTTTCTTGATGATTTTTGGGTAGGATTGTTTGTCGAAGAGGGTGGTGTGGTGCCCTTTTGTAAGAGACAAAAGCTTGCATGTTCTGGGGAAGGCTAGGACTTTAAGTGGTCTTGAGTAAAACATGGAGAAAGATTAGCTATGGACAATTTTTTAAAATTTTTTTTCGCCCACCGCTTTGGACATGGGTTGAATGTTTCCAATTGGCTAAATAAGACCTCCCCAGGTTTTAATTTGCTTTCTAAACTATATCAAAACATTAAATAGTAAACAGTGAAGTAGATGGAAATGTTTGGAAATTCTGCAACAACATGGAATAACTCCTTTAAAATGAGAAACAGGGGGCCCAAAGACACAACATACAGCAACAAAACCATTTGCCGTGAAGGTAGACTTTGTTGCCAAGGAATGAAGGGCTCAAACGATTTTTCCCTTTGCCTCTCTTCATTCTCTTCGATCTTTCTGAAAAGATCTTCAAAATATCAGCTTGTCCCAGTTGGACATAAGATAATGGCACGACCACATAGAAAGACGTCAAGATTTAAAGCATCATGTGACAGAGACCTACTAACCTCCAACCGTGCCAACTCTCTACTCCAATTGCCGAGTCAGTAGGGAGATTGCATGATTCAAGATAAACCCCATTTTTACATCATTCAACTCCCAGCATCTGTGTGCTTAGTGCAACCGACAAAGAAACAAGGAGGAAAGAATGTTCTTTTCACTTAGACTAATTTTCCTTCTGCAATTGTAATGTAAATTAGAATAAATTCTGTAGGAAACAACAAATCTCCTGTTTAGGGTTAGTACATCTCATTAATATGTCATCATATGCTAAAAAGATAATATATTAAACAAGCATGCACCTTGAAGAATGAATACTGTGTCAGCTAGTATGGGCAATTAGATCAATCTTCATAATTCATCTCTTCATATTTTGAGTCCATTGTAAGACATGATCTCTTAAGCACGTTGAATGCTGTTCCCTGATAATATGAGGTATTATAGTTCGTAAATTTGATGCATCAGGTTGCAATGATGCATCATATAAAAATCACTCAATGACAAAAGATGTACTAATCCTCCCTGCTTAGAATAATCTACATGCTCTTAACTTTTGATTCCTCCTAAAGAACAGCTAGTGAAAGAGGAAGTGTGTTTTATACTAACAGAGCTATATATATATATAACCTTGCTACAGCACTTTCAAAGCTCATATCATTCCATCTCTCCCTCATCTTCCTCCCTGTTATCTGTCTCTCTCATGGATAGACACAGGAGAGAGCACCTGATGAAGATGATGAAGAAAGCCCAGATTCAGACTCAAAGTTTCTGTAAGTTCAGAAGTGTCTGTATCAGTATTTGAAGTATAGAACCTTGGCTTATGTTAGAGATTGGGGTTTGTTGTTTTGCATATACAAGAAAGATGGTCCAATTCCAGAGGATGTGCCTAGAGGTCATCTAGCAGTGTATGTGGAGAAAAAGTTTAAGAGATTTGTCATCAAGATAACTTTGCTCAACCATCCTCCTTTTCAGGCATTGCTGGATCATGCAGAGGAAGCGTTTGAGTTCACCACAGGCTAAGACTCAGCATCCCCTGCAGTGAGACCATGTTTCGGATCATTCTTCAGTATGTCACTTCTCAGCAGGATAAAAAATGCTCACCTTGTTTCTAAGTATTATTGTTGATCTCTAGAAGTGCAAAGGAAGAAATGCTAGCATTTTGATTCTATCGTTCCGAAAAAAATAGTTCTTCGTGGTAGCTGTATAAGATTGATAGCAGGAATTGCATATGCAACTGAAGAAGTAATTAAAGAGACTAACCACTTCTTATATGCTGAAAAAGCTATCGTTATTTTGGGGGGGTTTAAAAGTTTAAGGAACAATGCATTCATTGACAAAGTTCAGAATTACACGTGTGCTTCCTCCACTCGTAACAGAAAATACTTCAGTATTCTCTGTAACCTGATATCTAGCTATTTTATTTATATCGTTATTGAAAATAAAGAACCATTTGTTCTTGCAAACAACAGCATATGAGCTATCATCTATGCTGTGCATATCAAAAAAGAAAATGAAAAGAGAATGAAATGTCTCAACTCGTGTACCTATAGGAGGCACAGGGGCACATGGTGCAGATTGCCGAAATCATGTTCCGTCAACTGCAAAGTATAAATTGATGGAGCCAATGGGACTAAGTCTTTAATTGAAGTCTGGTTTTTCAGGGTATGTGCAGCCTGATCTTTGGATTATAGCATTTGAGGTGTAGCAACCAGCTCTAACACATTCTTCAATGGGCTTCTCAAGAACAAGCTGTGACAAAAATCCACCAACAAATGCATTCCCTGCCACACAGGAAGCAAAGCATTACAATGTATTAGTATTAGTGGGTGAAAATCACATGCCCATGGAGTTCATCAATAAATAACCTATTCTCACAACCTTGAACTTGGGATGATATTTACACACTTAAAGGTTCAAATGTAAAGAAAAAAAAAATCTGAAACATATTTTCAATTCCACATTGAATCAACATGTATCACAAGAGAGATATACCTGTTCCATTGGTATTAACCAACTTCTCCTTGGGAAACTGGATCACCAGGAACTTCTTCACTTTTCCATCCTCAGCAACCACAATGGGAACTGCACCCTGAGTGATAATAGTAATTCTCGTGTGTAACTGATGCTTTGGGCCATTGAGAAATCTTTAATGCAATCTCCTCAACATTATCAGTGTGTTCATTATAGGCAACAAAATATAAAGAAATATTAAAGAGAATGAAAGAAGAGTTCACATATTGAAGAATGAACAACACTGTAAGAACTATTTACCTCCCAGCCATGAACCTTTGAGAATGTTCAGGCTTCTGTCTCATTCCCAAAGACATAGTCCATGTACCTTTATTGAAGAGGTATATCAGCACTATACCCTGAGTGGGAATATTTATCAAAATGACAGCACAGAAACTTACAGTAGAGCTTTCTCTTGTGCATCCCTAAAGAACTCACAGATGAATGGAGCAGAGAGGTTCCCCGTGAAGATCTGCAGATAATGAGAACATCACTAATCACTTGAGCTACTGAAAATAAATAAACAGATTTTTTTTTTTTGGCTAACAATAGACAGATATTTGAATGCATAAGACTCTAATAACACCCATTTCACCTTGTACGTTGCAGCTGCATGTTCAGCAACAAGTTGTATGGACTCAGGAGATACAGTAAGGAAAAATCCAGCAATGTAGAAATATTTTGCCTTCTCAACTGTTCAAACAGAAATTATATCAGAGTGAGTCCTAAAGGATCCCAAAGCATAAAGTTAATGGCAAAGAACTGGAGGTTGGAAATGGAAGAGCAAGCCATTGGAAGAAGTAGTGGTACGTAGGGCCCAATTTTCAGGTCTCTTCAAATGCTCAGATTTGTAACAATTTGCAGCAATTTGCAGCTGATAAGTTGGCAGCCATTGATCTGCAAACACATTTATTCCAATGCTCTTAGAACAGAATTTTCCACAAGTATAATTACAATAAGCAGTTTGGAACAACTGATAAGAAGAAAACTATAAGGCTGGATCACAGCATACATGTTAGGCAATGGGACTCAAGCAAATTGTCATGCTAAGTTTGTTTGTAGGCACATAGACATGCTTGAGCAGAAAAAAGAGCTTATAAGTTTTTAAATCTAAATTGAAACAGGTATTGAATTTTTCCCTAGCATTAGGCAAGTAAAGGATTTTAAAGTAGAGAACAGAAGCAACTAACCTCTCACCACCAACAACACAAACAGCACAAGTCCCCATTGGTGCTGTCTCATCACCTGTTAAAACATATTAAATCACACAGGGAACAAAGACAATTTTAACAGTGGGAATAATATTCCCATGGAAACTTACATTAACACCAGCAATCTTTGAGTTTTTCTTCATTTCCTCTCCAAATTTATCCTTCCCAATGCAACCAATATAACTAGTTGCACCTGGGATTTGAAGCATCCACTGCAAGATGCATAAAATTCAAAAAAAATAATTAAGCTGAATTCATTTTGTACTAATCAACACAAAATTAGAGAGCTTTCACAGATAATAAACAAACCTGGGCAACTCAGATAGAATTTTGAGTAGCACCTAAAGGTCACACAACGATGTAAAACTCATTAGTTGATATAGAGCAGTATCCCTCGCAAAATTTCAACTTAATAAATTTCCCTTTTTCCGGTCAAAAAAAAAACAAGTTGATAGATTGGCAGAGTAGCAGTAAATATTTAAAGCAGGCACCTGTGTCCAACCAGCAAATCATGAAAAATGGCATTCAGAATTACAAAACCAAGGGAATTCTCAAAATACCTCCAGCAATGTACGCCACGTTATACTTGCTAGCCATCTCCTCATACCTTCAAAAACCAATTCAAGTACGATTCAGTATTTCAGCTAGTGGCAGAAACCGAAGACAACAAATGCATGGCAACTGACAAGTCAGTGGTGAATATTCTTTTAAGGGTTAAAATTCTTCCATTCAAATATCGAACAGAAGGATAGGAGTTTGATTTCCAAAACTAATGAATTATAAATAAAGCAACATAATAAGTTAATGAAAAAGAGACTGACATTGGCAGGTGCTTGTCTTCAGGAAGATAGCATTGTTCAACTTAATGTTATACCTGTTTCATGAAAAGTTCAGTGCTTTCAAATGTCAAACAACAAGTTTATGCAAAGGGATTCAGTAAATTACAAGAAATTGCTGAGAAAAGCAGATCAAATATTGCAGGTACTATTATCTGATAAAGCCAGATAAAGAAATTATTTTGAAGTGAAAAAAAAAAAAAAGTATCCATCCTCAAAGATTGAATCACGATTTCAATTAACCATCATTTTCCTCACTCGGGCAGCTATGAAACAGTACTCAAAAGGAAAGGAAAAAAGGAAAAACAGCTATAGATCTGTCACCGCAACCCAAGCAAGCAATCAATCATAGAGATACACAATTTACTCACACCTCCCCAATAATAAAGAGCTCAACAGCCAGAAGGAGGTAAAAGGAATCCACTTTCCATTGTTTTCTGCTTTCATTTTCTCAGCAACCAAACAGGGCATGCAGAAATAGAAATGATTCGGTTGGAAGTGAATGAGCAAACTCACTTATTCAAGAAGTCCTCGTCTACCACTGCAGAGATGTCAAGAAGTGGTTTTCCCATGCCCAAGAGGATCCCTTCCAGCGCCATTGAAGCAGAAAGACAACGAGTGGCTTTAGCCTTTAGCTAGACTATCTGCAGAGGAAGAAGTGTGACCTCATTTACAAGAAAAGTTATATTGCAGCGTCTATATATAGTGACACCGGGAATCCTGTTAGCGTAGTATCGTTCGTTGAGCTCCTTTTCTTTTTGTTTCTTTTTTTTTTAAGGGGGTGGGGGGTGGGGTTGCATTGTTTGACCATTTTAAAAGGATGCAAGTGAGAGACAAAAATTCAAGGTTAAATGCTTAATTTGGTCCCTTAACGTTATGAAATGAACATTTTTGGTCCCTTAACAATTTTTTGCATTTTTTTGATCCCTCAACTATACAAAATGCACTCCGTTAGTCCTTCTGTTAATTTGGGCCGTTAACCCTGCTTATGTGGCATTTTTTATATTTTTTTTGATGATGTGGAGAGCAAAACTTAAAAAAGTGATGACATGTATAAAACTTCTGCCATGTCACATGCTACCAGGCAAAATTGCGCCAAATCCATCCAAATAGGTCCCACATCACAATCTTTGCCCATCGGTTACTGTTTTTCTTCCTTCCATGTTCGACAGAACCCAGCAGATCTAGGTTCGCTGTAACCCAGCAAATAAGTTCCATTAAACCCAACTCGATTCACTGAACTCAATTGCCCAAAAATCCCTCACAACAACCTGCAATTGCCCAAAAATCCGCAACAACCTGCAATTTGAATAATCTCTTGGCAA